ACACTTGTCTTTATGTTCTTGCAAATCTGATTATATGCTTAATGTTGAGTGTTATGAAGCATGAACATTACATATAGGACTAATTGAATTTGAATTTGCATGTAATCTCAACATCATATCCTATATACAACTATATATCAATATACTTCTTTGGAAAGTTTCAGAAAAGTTTTTTTTTTAAACGAAGAAGGTTCAAAAATAAGTTTTTAATAACCAATTCACCCCTTCTTGGTTAAACCATCTTTTCTAACAGATATTACTAGTCGGACATCCAAGTTGATTGTGTAGATTTTGTAAAAAAAAAATGCAAGGAATGCCAAGATTTTGGTCATGATCATTGCATCCCAAATTAAAAGCGTCATAGTATCCATTCACCTAAGCCATTTTCCATGTAGGGATGGATAACCTAAGTCCTTTTTCATTAGCTAAAGGACATGTAAAATTTTGTATTAGTCATTATTGATTATATTAAAAAGTGGATTGATGTAGAACCATTAGCTAGAATAACAATAGTGATGGTGCAAAAATTTACTTAGAAGAAGCTCATCTGTAGATATGGTTTGCGTAATGTCATTGTCACTAATTATGATAAACAATTTATTGGTAATGATTTTCTTGCAAAAGGAAGATGGGTAGAGGAGTTACCGAGCATAATCTAGACTTATAGTTGCAACTCATTTTTCTCAAACTTTGAAGGCTTTAGTTGATCCTTCAAGCTCTCATGGGTGGCTTTAAAGGTATTTTTTTTCTTTCATTTTGACACTTGTTTTTGGAGAATTTCATGTTATTGGAAGAATTGCTTAAAAGCATTCTAAGACCTTTGGAAAACTTTTTTTTTTTTTAAGGAAATCATTCCTCTTCTTATTCTCCTAAATTTTGGGACACCAGAATTGACATAGCCCGAGCTAGAAAAGACTCGACCAACTCAAGATTGGTAAAAGGTCCTACTTTTAATAAATAGTAGAATTTAAGCTTTGGATGAAGAATTTAATTAGAGTAATTCATAATTTTAAAGAATTTCAAATGTCTTGGGCGTGAAATACCTTGTTTGGATAGAGAATTTTAAAAAAATTTGAAATTCAAGCATCTGTAAAATTTCTTAAAATAGTAGAATTTTAAATTCTTCTAAAAAAAATAAGAATTTGAAATTCTTCATATTTTTTCTTTCTTATCTCTTTTATATATCTTTTATCTCTTTTTTTCCTGTCTCTTATGTTTCCTTTTACCTTTTTCTTTTTCATCTCTCATTCTCTGTTTTCTCTAGTCCTTCTCTACTCTCTCTCTATTTTTTTTATTTCCCAATTTCTTTTCTTAATTATTGAATATTCAAAAGTATCAATATTATTTTCAGTTATTGAATATTTGAAAATATTTTATAATTGTTAAATATTATAAAATATTAATTTTAAAATTATTAAATATTTAGAAATTCACTAATATTTAGTTTTATAAAATTTAATCTTAAAATATCAATAATATATATATATATATATATATATATATATATATATATAACATATAAAAA